CGAACATGAGCGCGCACATGCTCGGCTTGCGGTGCATGTTCGTCGTTTGAAGGGCGATTCACGAGCATGCTCGCAATAAATCAACAAATTTTGATTTTCAGCGAGCATGTTCGTCGTTTATAGCGTGGTTTGCGAGCATCGCATTGGGAACAAAAACAACAACTTCATTTTGTGTTGATGCTTGCAGAGTACACATCGGCGGATAAGTGCGGCCAAGACATGTACGTTATTGAATTTTTGATAGATAAGGCTAAATTACTATATGCATACATAGAAGTGAAATATAAATAAATTTAAGTAACACATAAATAAGAAAATCTAAGTCATAAACATTTGAATTTCATTATCCGCGTCTTTTCTATCCATCTTTACGCTATTATGACAACATCACACATGAGCTGCTCACCGTCTGTGGCACAGAGAAGATAATATGCAAAAAACACCTAGTGAAAAGGGAAAAAGAAATTTTAAACAAAAAATTCAATACAAAAACTTGAATTGTTTTAACCATAACCGAAAATATTCAAAAAATTTTATTGAGCTCGAGGCCGTTTTTATATGAAAACTATTGTGGTCAAGCAACAATAATTTTTATTTTTTGATTTCCGAAAAAGCTATCACTTCTACCATTTTTTCAATAAATAAAAATTATTGTTGCATGTCCACAATAGTTTTCATATAAAGACGANATTTCCGAAAAAGCTATCACTTCTACCATTTTTTCAATAAATAAAAATTATTGTTGCATGTCCACAATAGTTTTCATATAAAGACGACCTCGAGCTCAATAAAAGTTGTTGAATATAATTGTTATAAGGCCATAAAATAACAAAAGCACATAACCGAAAAATTGTTTGTGTATATATTCATTTGTCGGTGCTGTCAATTGAAATTTCCTCAATTAAATAGGGAAAAAAAGAAATAACAAAAAACAAAAGAAGTTGATCACAAATTGAGCCAGATTTCTATAGTATCACATCGATGTTGAATTTGCGCAACTTTTCTTTTTCAAAATAATGTAAAATAATAAATGAAACCTCGATCGCCCTGAAACGCAGCTAGAAAGTGTATACGCGAAAAAGCAATGCTGCCACTTCTTCTCATTTAACCATGTTCGAATCATGGAAATTTTTGAAGACCACAGGGTTGCTTTAAGCACTTAGACTCTTAGGCTGTGTGCGAGTAGACCTAAATTTTAGTACCTAAACTATTATTCCACTGGAAATTTCCAGCACTGCTACAATTTAGGAAAAACAGCTGCTAAAACTGTGCGAGTTCGTTTGACAACCTAAATTGTTTGTTTTGGAATTTGAATTTGTTTGCTTTTAATAAATATATCTATAAAATGAATAATTTTGTGGTAGCTTTGGGACTATTTAAGAATATAATAAATTTGCAACAGAAAAGGAGAATGCTCCATCCTGGCATCTATAAAAGAATGCGTTTGCTCTTCTGACCCTGCGAAATAATATACCTCCATCGAATTACACATATACTTATCTGAATGCAAAAATCAAACAAATTTATACTTACATCTTTCTGAATATTTTCTTTTTTGTGCCATAGCAATGATAAAAATTATTTTAAACATCAAAAAATCGTTGCTCACTTAATCGCTCGCTCAAATATATTTGACTCTTCAATTTAGGTTGAAAAGTATGCTCGCAGAAAATCTAAATTGTTCCTACTCAATGCGTTACCGACACTTTCCAGTGATTTAGGATTTTTCTCTATTTAGGTAGCAATTTAGACGTACTCGCACACAGCCTTAATGCAGAAATGGAGTTGCATTTAGTTGCATTTAGGTGACAAATTTTGCATGGATAAATATACATTTAGAGCTAAATGTGCTTTTACGCGTAAGCAAAAACAGCCCATAATACACCCATCATACAAATATTTAAAGGTCGGCCATCATTTATTTTTTGAAGTTTGTGTACTTTATAAAATTAAAATTTTGAGAGCAACTCAAATGCCAAATAAAAGTAAAACAAAAAACAAATAGATGAAAACATTCAAATTTTCTTTATTTGAGACTAAAAAGAGAATGTATTCGTGAGATTGAAAATTTGAAAACATTTTTGTTATGTTAGCAATCTTCAAAAATGTTCAGGCTGCCTCTCAGCGGTTTTACCTTAAAATTTTTGGTCAATATATCACGAACAAGTTTTCCTTCATTTATTTTTACTTATAAATCTTTAAATATGTATCTTGATTTTTTTTCTGTAGAATACGTGTTAATTTTTTTAACCGATTTAAAAAAAGGGAGGGGATAGCCGGGTCTACGTAACCAGAACAACCGGAATGCGCATTGAAGTCGGTTGTATTTTTTGCTTAAAATTACTTGTTATTATTGCGATACAGTTTCGCTACTACTTAGAGATTTCTCGACATACTTGTTCACATTTCTGTTCTGTATTTAGGACTTACTGTGGGTGCTTTAAGATTCATTTTGTAAATATGGATATATAAAACAATTGCGATATTTTATTTTATTTTATTTTAAATTATGGATTTTATTCGTGGAATTTTTTATGTGTAATACTTTTGAGAATACTTTTTGGTTTTGTTGTATTCTTTTATTGCATGCTTTAAACTTTTTTGCTTTAAGTTATAATGGTGAACATATGCCTTTTGCCTTTGTCAAGCACTTTAGCTAGGTGCGAGAAATTTAGCCTACGCGCGTAAAAGCATAGAGTAGGTATACGGCTGTGTTGCCGCGATTCTCCAACATCTTGTCAAAGTAGGATACAAATTGGTAGCTATTACGGAATCCATCGTAGTCCGATTTTTCATAAAATCTACGAAAAAGCGATCACTGAATCTGAACTGCTACGAACGTGTGTATTCAAAGCATACGCTGCGCTCGTAGCTACTTGAATTCAATAGCATTTTCGTAGATTTCACGAAAAATCGGATTATGATGGATTATGTGATAGCCTTGATTAGCTCGTGAGATTATCGTGCCCCAGAAACTCCAACAAACGACAAATGGAATCTCCAATAATATTCAAACGTAAATGAACAACGTGCATCTATATGAGATACGTTGCTTGCGGCAAGTTGGCAGGTTAACGCCAGACCGTAAGAGGTTGGAAGTCACACGAACAGCATACAAACATAAACAGACGGCAGCGCTGATCCGGATCAACTCGGGAATTAACTGCAGTTGATCCGGATTAAGACCGAGTTAATCGGGATCAACGGTGCCGTCTGTTGAATCTTTAATTCCAACATTTGATATAAAAATTGTTGTACATATTTGCACTAACATAACCATAAACTGTATACGTTTTGAGAAAGACATTAATGAAGCGAGCACTTGCAATCTCAGTTTAAACCACAAGTAGCGATTGAACACCATGTTTATTTATTTCGTTGGCTATATCTCTGGGCGATTTATTTGTGCCAGCAGCCTTTTTGCCAATGACATGGCACTATTGCACTGATAATAACCAAATTTAGCCGCAGTTGCATTCACACGTGATATAATAGCTGGTGTCGGCAAGCTGTGGGAATGCCCAGGAGATGGCGTTTATTGTGCTATCAAAATCATTGCACCGACGGCGGTGGGCAGTACCGCTGGTACAAATTTACCAAAAACAGCAGTGGTTGCGGCGTTTTCTTCTGCAACAATAGCCTGCAATGATGGCATGTCCTATAATGTCGACGAACAAAGATCGATGCTTTAGCTTCATGTTGTCAGTTTCCAACGTTGTGTACTCTTGATCATCTTCAATTTTAAGTCCCTCGTCATGTTTTGTATTTTCTATTTATGTACGCAAGTGGGCTGTCAGATGCTCCTGAAAATACAAACACAAAATTTTTAACATGCTCTACATGTAGCTGGAGTTAATGGCCAATATATTGGAGCCACACTTATTGCTGCAGCAGCAGCGAGAGATTTCGAAGGAGTGCGCCTTGTCTGTGAATGAGAAAATAGGATATGAATTGGCACTATGGAATTCTAATGCTCACATTATACAATAGATGTGTGGGGATACCGANTCTTGTCTGTAAATGAGAAAATAGGATATGAATTGGCACTATGGAATTCTAATGCTCACATTATTCAATAGATGTGTTGGAATTCCGAAGGGATTCGGAAAAACCGAAGGGATTGCAGTAGTTTTCCTTGCAATCACCGTTGATGATGCTATGCTTGTAATTTATGGTCTGAAAAGAAAGAAAATTGCATTAATCAAATGTTAAACACATCATATCAATAAATTTCAGTAATTTTTGCCATTTCACAATCCGAATTACCAAGAAATTGAAACTCACCGCGATGCGATACAGAAATAAAAACCAAAAAAAAAAATGATCAATTTCATGCAGTTTTAACGTCTTGAATACAAAACACAAGCTCAAAATTCTGGTTTTACTTGTGAAAGAAAATCCCAATACTCAGTTGGCACGATCTCTGAGAATAAAATCGCAGAGCTATTGATAGTTTTAANATAGTTTTAAAATATTTTAAATAGATTTGGCTCACAAACGCCTCTTTAGACAGTCGGAAGTTTTTAATAAATCTGTAGACAAATTTCTTAAATATACTTTATTTGTTTTTCTTATTTTTTTGGCCTTTTATAACAATTATATTCAACAATTTATATTGAGCTCGAGGCCATTTTTAAACGAAAATTTATTGTGGAAAAGCAACAATAATTTGAAAAAATGGTAGAAGTGATAGCTATTTCGGAAATCACCACATTTCCTCATCAGACTTCTTTCAGTAGGATTCGAACCGACGATCCCACTGACTCAGCCAGTTGCCTATGCACCGTGCTAAGTACGCCTTGTAAATTATCGTTTGCTTTTTTCCACTATTTTCATTTTTGTTATGCCAACACAATCAAGCGCAGCTATTCCGCTGCAATTCACTTGATCATGTGGTTGTTGGTACTGTTGGTTTTTGCTAATAATTCTATTTTTAGAATGTTTAACTTTTAGCGGAATAGCTGCGCTTGATTGTGTTGGCATAACAAAAAGGAAAATAGTGGAAAAAAGCAAACGATAATTTACAAGGCGTACTAAGCACGGTGCATAGGCAACTGGCTGAGTCAGTGGGATCATCGGTTCGAATCCTACAGAAAGAAGTCTGATGAGGAAATGTGGTGATTTCCGAAATAGCTATCACTTCTACCATTTTTTCAAATTACTGTTGCTTTTCCACAATAAATTTTCGTTTAAAAACGGCCTCGAGTTCAATATAAAATATTGTAAAACTTTGTAAAACATTTATTACTCCTGGCCAGTTTACTAAGCTTTCATCCTCTGACGAATCGTTGAACCCCAGAACTCCGTTGTACCTATTTTTACCACGTTTTTATAAACTTGCTTTAGTTTTTATTTCGTTTTAATTTGCACAAATTTACATAAATATGTATAAGCACACTATTTAGTTTGCTCGATTTGATAACAAAAGTGAGGTGAAAAATATACTATTGTGAACAACATAAACGAGCGAAACTCACAATAGCGCTATTCTTCATCGAATGAGCGCTATAATACCAAATGAAAATTCGTTCGATCAGCACTTTCAACCACAGTCGAAGATCGAATGCAATTCATAATAAGGGCCATGATTATCACATTATCTAATTAGCGCACACTATTGTGTTTATTCTTAGTAAAATATAATTGTATTATCTCAGACTTTTTTCAATGTTTTCTAATATTCGTTCTTTTGGCATGCAAAAGCAACCATGCATTTGGTCCCCATAAAGGACTTTCACCACGAAACAACTACGAAAACAAAAACCTTTTCTACTGGTATACTGTGATAATCAGCCTTAAGTTGTGTTAAGTTGTGTTACGTTTAAGAAGTTGTGCGAAGTTATGCGAAGTATGCATAATCAGACCTCTACCTTTACATGCACATTTATTAATTGGAATTTAAATATTTGTTTAAGGAACCTAATTGGACATGGTTCCATGAAAGTATGTACTTACTTAACAAACGCTCGCTCAAAATTTTAAAGCATTCATAAAATATAATGGTGAAAAATTAGTAAAAAAAACTAGAGCCTTCGATTTGCCGAGATTGTTCGACAAGCAATTTCTCGCGGGGATCGCTTTCTCACGAAATTCTCGTGTATCGAAAAACTCGTTATACTCGTGAGCTTCTCGATGATCAATTTAAGGCAGCGTATTTAATTTAGGTTATTTAAACCCTGAACTGTTGAATTTCTTCCAAGCGCAATACTCGTAGCTCTCCAGAATATCCAAATACCATGTGCATGTTTCTTTCCAGACAGGTCTGTATTGTTCAATCATATGGAGGAGCTTTACAAATACCACATTGCACTGTCCTTTCCTTTTATTACTTTTATTCACTTTCTTTGTCGGAGCCATCAAACGCAAATAATACACAAACATACACATAAATTTTTGATATACGCACAAACATGATACAAAAAAGAAGGTAGTTCCATTGACACTTTTTCGTCGCCATATAAACAACCTGACAATTAAACAGATTGTGACATTTCGTGCTACCATACCCAATATCTAAAATCCTTAAAACTGGATTATTAACTTTTTTTATTTTTGTTTATTTGCGAACATTTTGTTCTTAGGGCGTGTTTGAATCGGTAACAAAGTTCTATTCGAAAAGCTATTGAATAATATTTTTACTATGGTGAGACAGTTTTGCCAATCTTATTCACCGCGAACTTTGTTACCGATTCACACACGCTCTTAGAATCGAAATTTGAACAAGCAAAAGGTATTTTGTTGGGTACGGTTCGGTTATTTGTACAATAATTATTCCGTTCTTGTTTTCAAACGCGTAACCCGAATCAATAAATTTTAACTTACGCGTGTGGTTAAACGATTAAACGCTAGTTTTAAATAAAGATTTCAAACTTACGGATACAAATTTATTAATAAATTCGGTTTGAAATATGGACTTATTAGTAAAAGATACTGGGGTCAGCATAGTCGGAGTTGGACTGATGACGGTTATTTTTTCTAAGTGCGGCCGAAAGATATTTTGGGCAAACAAACGCAGAAATTTATTTTGCGGAAAAATCTTGTGGCGTAACCCGAGTCTTACATTTACTCTGTCAAAATGCTAATTTTATCATATTTTCCAATGGATCCCTAGGGGTCTGTAGAGGGGTCGGAGAAGGAAAGGGTGATTTTTCTTAAAGATTAATCCCAAATTTATGATATAAAATCCCCTCCAACAAAACTTTAAATTGGGTATCGCCGCTTCGAATTTTTCACAATTGAGCAATTCTCAAAAATCTGCTTTGTAATCAAAAAGATGTTTATTGAAACTACCTTCTTTTTTGTATCATGCGCGAAAACTTTTTTTGACAATAGAATATTTAACATGTACACATACATTTTTTCTGATTCTGTTTTTAATACGTTTGATATGCTCTCGCATACGTACATATGTCTCGATAACTACTCCAAATTGCTGGTGAGAATGGCGATACCCCATGGTAAGGGCTGCCAACCAGCGTTGCCGTTTTGCTTAAATTTAAGCAAAATTGCTTAACAGCCCTATTCTGTTGCCCTCATAAAAATCACCATACTCACTATTGTGAGGTTTCTGACTATTGTGAGGTTATCCCTACGCTGGCGTAAATTTAAAAGCTCATACGCTCACAATTGTCAGGAAATTTATGATGTACGAATGAGACCCTCACAAGAGAAAAACAGCCGATTTTTATTGACCAATTGAATAATGTTTTGTTCATTTTCGTTCGCTGTCAGTGTCTGTGTTAAGTTTTTATTTTTTTTAACTAAAAGTATATTCAGTAATGGCGGAGTTATTGCTTGTTTTTGCGGCAGTTTCGGAAGAGTTAGAGCAGGCATAGGATTTCATTTCCATACAAACTTTTGCTCCAAGTTGTGGATTGCAAACTGTGTGAAGTACTGGAGCTACTCCTGCTTTGTTATTTCTTTTTAAATTCGCCTAGAAAATAAATAAAATCAGTAATTATCAAAAAAATAAACAAATTGCAAAAATATTTACTTTTCCTGTTGTTCAGCATCCATCTTTTGTATTTATTTTATTTACGAAACCGCTGTTAGACAGCAAAATGCTTTTCACCTCGTGTGGTGATTTTGTTGAGCTTTTTTCTTGTGAGGTGTGAGCTAGAATAACCTCACAAAATAGACCTCACAAGAAATCTCACAAAGTTTTGCTCACAACTCAGTTGTGAGGTTTTATTAGAATAGGGCTGTAAGTTTTTCCTGCGTGTTAAAATGTTAAACTTTTCTTCGTTTTGCTAAATATTTTTATCTAAATAGTCAAAAAGGATAATTTTACTCAAAAATTCATAGTCAGAAGAGTTACTATTTCAATAAATTTTTAAAATTTATTTTAGGGAGACTGTCATCCAGAGATCCCACATAAAGTTCCAGCAAATGTTGCCCTACGCAATTCCCAATCTGCGGTCGTCACGTTTTCAAGCCTCCGAGTGTACTTCTGTCATGAAATCGCTTCTCATAAAAACCATTTGCCGTTCGGAGGCAGCCTAGAACTTTAAGTCCCTTCATTTGCGTGACAAGATCAACACCCACATTATGGATTATAGGAGTATGTGTTAAAATCCTGAAAGAATGATCATTTTTTGTGTATCAAATAGATATTAGAACACACTTTCCACCATACAGTTTCGATTATAAAAAGCGGGAAAATGTGATTTTGTATTTCGAAACTGTATGGTGGAAAGTGTGTTGTAATATCTATTTGATACACAAAAAATTATCACGGCTGTACTTTTTGCTGATATATTACATACATATGTTCCATTTAGTTAAACAATATAAGAATATTGTAGTATGTACCACAAAGACGTATATTTTCTATAAAAAATCATAACTCAGAAAAAAAATCTTCGCTATTAAAGATTTGGGTTGATTGTAGTTCAAAGTGTCTCTTTCCCGGTAAAGAAGTTTGAGAGAAAAAAAATACACTTCTTGAGAAATTAAATTTAAAAAAAAAATTGCACTTTTTGTTTATTGTTAGATAAAAAATTTTAAATAATGAAAATCAATAATTATATCATTCTATTCTAATCTATTAAATTTTGACAAAGTTATGGGCATTTAAAAAAAATTCTCACTGTCAATTCGAATAATCGATTTTTGCCTGAAAAACAAAATCGCGTTTAATTCGGCCGAAAAATTTTTCCGAGCCAAAAGAAAAAATACGTGACTCATTATTTGGACCAACAAACAATGTGTTTGAGTTTAGTCGAAATTAAAAATCATGCTCGTACCTGACCGGTTGTCTGGAAATGGAAAGCATCGTATACAAATAAACATATTGCACAAAAGCTTATACTTCTATTTCACAGCTAAGCTACACTTTTTCCAAGTAAATTTGCAAAGAAGTAACACGGTGCCACTGCTAAGGGAGCGGTGCGAGAGAAACAACTGTCGGTTTATCGAACCTTCTATTATTGAATCATGGAATCACAATATAACCAGTAGAGTGGTTCAAAAAATTTTTATTTTGGAAATTCATACACGCTACCTCAAATTATTGTTATTTGTGATAAAAAAGAGAAACGTTTTTTATTTTGAAAAAAAATTTTCTTAGGAGCGCGCGTCGGTTTTTTATAAAAACCCTGATGTTCTCAATTTTTTTATTTTCTTGACATGTTCAAATGCTGCTAAAAATTTGTTTTTTTACATATAATTACTCTGGTATTATTGGGGAACATTCCCTTAATTACATACCTGTCTTGGGCAGTTATAATGGGCCTAGTGCCCGAAAATATGCCTTCGAAAAGAGACTAGTAAAATTAAAACGCTGATACTGAACGATTTACGCCTTGTCATGGGTTGGAACTTGTTACCAGGGGGTTTCTGGGGTTGCTAATTAGGGATCTGAAGTCAGTTTTTCGAAATTCAAAATGGCGGGTCCAAAATGGCGGTTAATTTTTTTTTAAATGATTGGATTTGTTCGAAATCCGGCACTCGAGAGTTTTTGTAGTTGCCGATTACGAATCTGAAGTCAATTTTTATAAATTCAAAATGGCGGATCCAATATGGCGATCGAATTAAAAAAAAGTATTAAAAATAAAACGTTGATACTGAATGTTTTAAACATTGTCAAGGGTTAAAACACATTTCCCGTGGATTTCTGGGGTTTCTGATTACGAATCTGATGTCAGATATTCAAAATTCAAAATGGCGGTTAAGAGTTTCAAACAAATCCAATCATTTTTTGTAAGTTGGTCGCCATTTTGGATGCACGACAGCCTATTCTACGTACCGGAATGACTCGGTTGGTCGGGCCAAGGGCTGTTGTTTCGGCGATCTAACCCCGTCTAGGTCGGCGAAGTATATCAGAAGTTGTTCGTCCATAGGGCTACATTCGCTACGCTTTCTTCTGCTCAGGGCTGGCATCGAGTCAAGCCCAGAGACAGAAACCTACACCTGCTGTGTATGCCAGAGACGACTACACCACAACTCCTCCTCAGTCAAGTGCAATGCTTGCAAGGGGTGGAGTCACCTCAGAGTCTGCTCAGGATTACGGAGACATCGGCAGTGGACTACGTCGTTTGTGGCCCCCTGCTGCTCAAACAGAGCAGCCTCCACGGCTAACCACAGTCCACCTGAGCAGCCCAACGCAAACACCACAGCACAACAACATAATAACACAATAGACCACACCACAACCACGACAGACCACAGAACACACACAACCGCACCACCACGCACACGCCGCCGCCAACAACTCTTGGTTCCCCCTACAATCTGCACGGTATGTCAGACCAGGATATTCCGTAATGTGATATCAGTCAAGTACAACACCTGCCTTGGCTGGTGCCACTTTAGGGCATGTTCAGGTCTGCGCACCACGCGAGATTGGACGAGGAACTTCGAGGGCCCTTGTTGCGCTGCACGGTCGCTAACCTTAACTGCGACGCCACCCACCACCACCACAGGGCGGCAACAACCTCAGCAGCGCACACAGCCAATGGCGTCACGTCCACACACACCTCTCACTCCCCGCATTACCACACGTCTCCCGAACCACACGAAGCTCCTTCAATTTAACTGCAACGGGCTTCAGAGCAAGATCGAGGAGATAACCGTCTTCATGGGAAGGAATGGTATATTGATAGCTGCGGTCCAAGAGACGAATTTGTACAGCAATTCAACATTGTTGAATTGTGCCGGGTACAACGTGCACCGTCGAGATCGCGAGCGGGATAATGGTGGTGGCTTAGCGTTCATCACGGACCACACCGTGCAGTATCGTCTTATCGAAGCAGACATCGACCGCAGGGATACCACCCTAGAATGTCAGGGCATTGCTATCCGGTCAGGCGATGTTGAGCTCGAAATATTTAACATATACATACCCCCTGTCACCTGCTGCCCGGCAGGATATCACCCTGATATAGGTGCGCTTCTCAGAGGTGAAAACCGGATGGTAGTAGGTGACTTCAATGCGCACTACGATCTTTGGCACTCAAGCCTGTCAAACGATCGTAGCGGAACTGACTTGGCTGAGCAGATAGACGATTCGACATTCTGCACAATGAACCACGACGCACCCACCAAGATTATGGGCAGCTGCTGCAGCTCGCCAGACATAACAATAGTCAGCGCTGGTCTGATAAACAGCATATCATGGCGACCTATGCTGACTTTGGCATCAGACCATCTGCCCATAGTAATCTCGATCGATAAACCAACCGGCTTTGCTTCCGCGGAGCACCGGACCTATATCAACTTCTCTAAAGCTGATTGGGAAGGCTTCGCGGAATTTACTGAAAACACCTTCGCTGCTCTTCCGACACCAACCGACGTCCATCTTGGTGAACGTAAGGGCTGTCACCGCTGCTGCAGCTCGCTTTGTACCGGAAGGATGTATTACAGACTCACGTCCAAATTTCCCTGCCGAAGCGGCTGTTCTAGCCGATGAGCGTGACAGCCTTCGTCAGGCCGATCCCGCAGATCCCCGCATCAGGGATCTCAACGCGGAGATTCGGCAACTAGTGAACGAACATTAGCGGAAGAAGTGGGAAGAGCATCAGAAAACCTGTAACTTCACCTCTGGTGTGAGCAAGCTTTGGTCAACCGTGAGGTCGCTGTCCAATCCGACGAAGCACGACGACAGAGTCGAAATTTCCTTCGGCGACCATGCTTCGTCGGACTCGGAGCGATGCGCGAGCTATTTTAGCCGGCAGTTCATACTGCATCCTCCGGTGGACAAAGCCAAGCGTCGAGTGACCAGAAGGCTGCACAAACTGCCAACAACTTGTGCCCCCCTTGCTTTCACTTGCGGTGAAGTTCAGGTGGCCATCGGGAAGGCGAAAGCCTCCAAAGCCATGGGTCCCGACGGAATATGCATGCTGATGCTGAAAAATTTGGGTCCTGCGGGAGTAGCGTACCTAACGGAGGTCCTCAATTTGTCAATGGCTACTCTCATCATCCCAGATATCTGGAAGGTGGGGAGAGTGGTCCCACTGCTCAAACCGGGGAAGCCCGCCAACAAAGGAGATTCGTATCGACCGATAACACTCCTTTCCCCGGTAGCGAAGACACTTGAGGCCCTGCTGCTCCCGTATTTACCGAAACACCTGACCCCAGCGAAGCATCAGCATGGTTTCCGTAAAGTACACAGTACAACAAGAGCATTTAACGCCATAAACACTCAGATAACTCGTGGCCTTAACCGTAACCGTCCCTGTGAGAGAACGATTCTAGCAGCGTTGGACCTATCAAAGGCATTTGACACTGTCAGCCATTCCATGCTACTTGAAGATATATAGGCTTCCTCTCTCCCACAGAGGCTCAAATGGCAGTCGGCAAATTATCTGAGTGGTCGACACTCGTCGGTAATGTTTAGAGACAAATCGAGCAAACTTAGGAAAATCAAACAGGGGGTTCCACAAGGTGGTGTCCTTTCCCCGCTACTGTTCAACTTTTATATTTCAAAGCTCCCTCAACCACCAGAGGGAGTCTCGATTGTCTCCTANAAAATAAAAAACACTTTTCTCTTTTTTTATCACAAATAACAATATTCTGATGTAGCGTTTATGAATTTCCAAANGTATCTCTCCGATCTTTCTCGCCTCTTCACTGCAAAGTGTCTAGCCCTCTCCCCTACGAAATCCTCTGCGACCTTGTTCACCACCTGGACGAAGGAGGTCAGGCTACCGCTGGGAATTCACGTCGATGACACACCAGTTCCGACGGTGAATAACGCCAAAATACTCGGAGTAACATTCGACAGCCTGCTCTCCTTCTCTGCGCACGCAACCGCTATTGTCAACAAAGCACAGAGCCGCAACAAGGTCCTCAAGTCGCTAGCCGGCAGTACTTGGGGCAAAGACAAAGAAACGTTGCTGGCAACATACAAGGCAATAGGCCGGCCGGTTTTAAACTACGCAGCACCAGTGTGGTCGCCGGGGACTAGTAGGACGGAGTGGATGAAGCTACAGACAGCTCAGGACAGCGACTGGATGCCTCCTGATGTCTACGGAACACCACCTCCATGACGAGACGAAAATGCTCCCACTCAAGGAGCATAACATAATGCTCTGCAAGCAGTTTCTGGTTGGGAGCCATAGACGTGGCCACCTAAACAGACAGCTGCTTGCAGAGCCACGTCAGGAGGCATCTATACGAAACCACAATAGCCCAACTTCGCTCTGGCTACTGCAGCAGGTTAAACTCATACCTGAGCAGATTAAATGCGGATGTGCCAAATGAGTGTCCGGCATGCGGAGAGGCCGCTCACGACTAGAAACATCTCTTCGCATGCCCGAAAAACCCGACAACCCTAACGGCTTTGTCCCTGTGGACCGACCCTATAGAGGCTGCACGCTTCTTAGGGCTGCTGTTAGTGGAACTTGACGACAACGACTAAGATATCAACCGATCTGGGCGGGGTTGTTGTAGCCGCTACAACAACAACAACCTCTAAGAAATTTTTTTTTTTCAAAATAAAAAACACTTTTCTCTTTTTTTATCACAAATAACAATATTCTGATGTAGCGTTTATGAATTTCCAAAAAGAGTGTTATTATGAACCACTCTAAGGGCCGGTTACTCAATGTCTGGTTAACACAAATCTCTGTTTAAACATCGTTATCGACGTTGCCGAATCCCTGTTATATGAATGGAGTCGAATACGTCGATAACAATGTTTAAGCGGAGATTAGTGTTAACCAGACATTGAGTAACCGGCGCTAATAATCCGTAAACAACCTTCGGTGAATTTGGCGACTATCTTCCTCGGGGATGAATATGTCAGGGATAAATTATTGGTACACACGCCTTCTAAGCACGCAGGGTTGCTTTTGAGAAACAAAAAATAATTAACTCCAAATAATTTCAAAAAGTATAGTGTAAAACGAAATTTATTGAATAATTCCACATAAAATGGTATATATAAATAACACATTTTCTTACCGATTTAAATAAAAGGACATGTGCCAATTGATAGAAAAGTACTACGGATTGTAAATTTTTGTTAACTATTACTACGTTTATACGTAAGCTATTTGCAAATAAAAATAATTTGCAAATACCTAACTCACTGTTTATTCGATGGTGAAAAACTCTTTTTTAATATTGCCTGATTATAAAAAAGCAATAAAATGACCATCGAAAAAGAAAATAAACCTAAGAATGGCGGCGTCTTGATTATAAAAAGGCAATAAGATGACCATCGAAAAGGAAAATTAACCTAAGAATGGCAGCGCCTTGGGCTTATTTGCAACTAGTACCACTAATCAATACTTATTTGCAAATAAAAAATTAACTCAGCGTTTATACGGCAAAGTTTACCATTTTGCAAATAGTTATTTGCAAATAATGTGTTTTTTTTAATGTTCGTTACAACCAAATTTTAATTAACATTTGAATTCTTGTAGTGNGCCGCTCACGACTAGAAACATCTCTTCGCATGCCCGAAAAACCCGACAACCCTAACGGCTTTGTCCCTGTGGACCGACCCTATAGAGGCTGCACGCTTCTTAGGGCTGCTGTTAGTGGAACTTGACGACAACGACTAAGATATCAACCGATCTGGGCGGGGTTGTTGTAGCCGCTACAACAACAACAACCTCTAAGAAATTTTTTTTTTTCAAAATAAAAAACACTTTTCTCTTTTTTTATCACAAATAACAATATTCTGATGTAGCGTTTATGAATTTCCAAAAAGAGTGTTATTATGAACCACTCTAAGGGCCGGTTACTCAATGTCTGGTTAACACAAATCTCTGTTTAAACATCGTTATCGACGTTGCCGAATCCCTGTTATATGAATGGAGTCGAATACGTCGATAACAATGTTTAAGCGGAGATTAGTGTTAACCAGACATTGAGTAACCGGCGCTAATAATCCGTAAACAACCTTCGGTGAATTTGGCGACTATCTTCCTCGGGGATGAATATGTCAGGGATAAATTATTGGTACACACGCCTTCTAAGCACGCAGGGTTGCTTTTGAGAAACAAAAAATAATTAACTCCAAATAATTTCAAAAAGTATAGTGTAAAACGAAATTTATTGAATAATTCCACATAAAATGGTATATATAAATAACACATTTTCTTACCGATTTAAATAAAAGGACATGTGCCAATTGATAGAAAAGTACTACGGATTGTAAATTTTTGTTAACTATTACTACGTTTATACGTAAGCTATTTGCAAATAAAAATAATTTGCAAATACCTAACTCACTGTTTATTCGATGGTGAAAAACTCTTTTTTAATATTGCCTGATTATAAAAAAGCAATAAAATGACCATCGAAAAAGAAAATAAACCTAAGAATGGCGGCGTCTTGATTATAAAAAGGCAATAAGATGACCATCGAAAAGGAAAATTAACCTAAGAATGGCAGCGCCTTGGGCTTATTTGCAACTAGTACCACTAATCAATACTTATTTGCAAATAAAAAATTAACTCAGCGTTTATACGGCAAAGTTTACCATTTTGCAAATAGTTATTTGCAAATAATGTGTTTTTTTTAATGTTCGTTACAACCAAATTTTAATTAACATTTGAATTCTTGTAGTGTTGTGCGGTTTATACTTAGGGCCATGCAAATAACATGGTGTCGGTAACGTCGATAACGATGTTTAACCGGGGATTAGTGTCAACCAGGCTTTGAGCAACCGGCCCTTAGTGTATGTGTTAAAAATGCAACACCTGAAGCGTTGTTTTTATGTGGAGTTAAGTATAAATCAGATACCATTAACTTTTTTAACGTGCCTCAATGTCCTTCGCGTAAGAAGCGTTGCGAAAGCAGCTGTGGGGCAGAGCTGCAGCGAAATACCTTGCTATTCGTTAAACATTTTAAAGCAACAGATTTTATAAATGCACCGGGAGGTACAGGAAAGGCACGTTTAATGCCAAGTTCTGTTACTATGACTCTTATGCCGGAAAGTCCCTCCAACAACACTGCAACTCATAAATCAAAGACAGAAAACAACAAACAAATTAACAAATTTTAACTAAAGAAAATAAATAAATAAAATTAAACTTTAAATGTACTTAAAAACGTCAACCAGTGAAATGTAATTTTTTATATTTCCTTACACACGCTCATTTTTATTTTTAATCTCCCGAAAACTTTGACTTTTGTAGGTTTGACGTCAAATTGGCTTCTACCTCTTTTTGTTGTACCATGGGCCAAATCACGCATTTCTCCATACAACTTCGCATTTCCAAAATAACGCATTTAAACAAAATCACGAAGCAAAGGCGTTCCAATTGCCACACTATTTTATTGAACTCACTCAGAAACAAGAGTTCAACAAAAGCTTTTGTTTGTGTTTGACATTTGGAATTTTTCAAAATGAAAACAAACAACGAAATGAAAAAATCTCTGAAATTTGTGTATAAAAATTGTTAATTTGTAGAAGACCTTTACACATTTTTAGTTTAATCAAAGAATAATTGCCTTTTTGTGTCCAAAAAGTGTTAACAATATAATAAATGTAGGGTTTGTTCGCTTTCATTTTGTTTCTGTCTTCCCTTTTCATTTGATGAGAAGTCAAAGCAAATGCGGATCAAGCAGTGTAAACACCTTCAAATGACTGATTTCAAATCACGCATTTGGGTCCAATATAAATGTAATATTACTTTCATTCTTATTTTACTTAGGCCAACCAATTAACAATAAATCCCATGATCCAACTACACAAGATCTGACAAGATGAAGCAAAAGAAAAAAGTAATTTTCTGGCTGACGTTTGTAATTTCGGCGCCATGTTATTTTCTTTGAAAAGTAAACAAAGAATATGAAGACGAAGCATAATGAAGAAAATTCAAGCAATTTTGTAGCAAATGTTTGTGCTAACCAATTATTATTTTTGTACGTGTTTTTGAAACCAATCACCACGCACTTCATTTTAATTACATTTGCACAAAAAATTTATTGAAAATCGCTTAAAAATCACTGAAATAAACCACCGACAAAATACACATAAAGAAAGAAGCAAAACAGAAATAGGAAACTTCAAAATTACGAACGTCACACATTTTTTCTCAATTGCTATTACAAATGGCTGTTCTCAACCGGTCAGATCTGTTCTAATTGGTTCATGAATAAATCCGATATGGCGTATTTAAAATGATAAAATATGACTTCCACTTCGTTAAATAATCGAAAAAATAGTGAAGACACCGATTGGAATGAGTGGAACGTGAGTTTTCAAATAGTTTTCAGCGAAAACTGGTTTTCGTTTGACAGATTTTACATGGACGAAAACGCAAGTTTTAGGTCGAAAACCAGTTTTAGCAACGAAAACATGTTTTCGATGTCGGTCAGAACATGGTATTAGTTGTCAGTTATAAAATAAATCAAATTTATTTGCGAATATTTGTTTATTTTATTTATTGAAAGGCAACCACGCGGAAAAGCTTGTGTTAATTGTATTGATAACAGAACCTGGCAGCTCGCACACAAATGAATACATTGCTTGTGTTACCATCAATACGCCATGTATAAATTTTAACAACACACAAAAATAAAGCTTTCGCACGAGCGTTTGTTTGGTTTTTCAGCACCATTTATAATTTTCTTTTAATAAAATCATGATTTGTCAAATGCTTTAATTTATTTATCTAATAATAATGCGGTACACAACCCTGAAATCTAAGAAAGTCTGAGGAAGGCCATTAAATAGCGGCACACAACCCAGTGCCTTCCTCAATGGTGAATAATGCTACAACAACAACGATTACTACACCAACAACCCAAAAAGGTTGGCTACTGTCTATAGGTTCTTTCCCTAACAATCCGGACCGGATCCGGTAATTAGAGAATAAGCGAAATGTTTGCTGTCAAAAATGGAACATAATCCAGAAGTACGGGAATGCAAAAAAACACATTTTGTGCCCGGAATTGGAGAAAAAGCTGATTCACGTTGTTTTTGTTTTTGTCACTTAAATGCAAACTCTTGGAAATTAAATTTGGTTTCACAAATTTGATTTTAAGTCTACAAAGATTGAAAATACATCAACAGGCCATTCG